TGTTAAGTTCCGTCATTTGAATATTATAGGTGTGTAAACTCAGCAAAATATTCTAAAAGAGTCCAGTAGTCCATAATAGTATTGGGTCTTCTGCTTGATTGGCAATGTCAGAAATTGTTGACCTGAGTCCCCTACAACTCAACATAACAGCATGGCTTTACTTCTTATATTTCGTTTTTATACTTTTCTGCTGGATGGTTAAGACCAACTTGCTGTTTAATTTTGAGGTAGAGTTTCCCCAGGTCACTGAAGTTGCCCAGTCTAGACTCAAACTTGTTATCCTCCACCTTCTGCTACCCCCAGAGTATTGATGTGCACCACAGTACCCAGCAAGACTTTTTTAACTCTCCCCTTATTTTTAATAGCAGCAGTAGAAACCATTCTTAAGTTGAACTTTGTTTTTCCCACTTATTGCCAAAGGACATTAGGCAGAGAACATTCTGTGACTTTAAAGCTGATCTGTGATGACACATGGCCTCTTCCTAACCTACACTTGATGGTTCCTGGGCTGGCCAGCTTAGAGTAGCCCTGGAGGATATTCCCAGCGGCAGCTGAGGAGCCACAGTAGAAGTCTTTAGGTCCTGTGACCTGACTGCTCTGCTGCAGCTGAGATCTGCAGCCCGCCCTGGACACTGCTCCGTTCCATCTTCCCTCATCCTGTCTTACTCTAGGCCACTCTCCCTGGTCCCTTTGTCTACTTGATGTGTAGGCAGCTACACTTGCACTGTCTGAAACTACCTATGCTTACTAGTGTCCTCCAAGCAACAGCAAGGTTTTCTGGAAATTGGGGAAGAGTGTCATTCAGGAAAATTTCTGTCCCCAAACTGAGACCTAGAAGATGACAGTTGGTCACAGTATGGAAGCACAATTTAAGCTTGAGTCCAGCCATTAGTGTCGGGCTCCTTCAGACCTTGCTGGGTCATTTCCAGCTCCCCATGGTCTTCTGTCCCGTGTAAAGCCAGGCTTCTGCCCTGGTCTTCTCCTCTCTTCCCCGCAGTGTGGGCACCTGCTGAGTCTGCTCCTGCGTGCAGCGCCACTGTCCACACCATCCTTGCGTAGGTCACAGACGAGTGTCGTCAACTTCTCCCATGGGGAGTATTTCTATAGCTTATTCTCAGAAACAATCAATGCTGAGCTGCTGAGAAATCTTGATCTTATGCCAGAGCTCATGAAATCATCGGTGGATAACCCCAAGATGGTAAGGAAGTTTTTCTTCAGCTATATATTTTCTTTTTTTTAAAATTTATTTATTTATGTGTGTGTGTGTGTGTGTGTGTGTGAGTGTGTGTGGCCAGCTCAGCCCACCAGGGGGCGGGGCTGGCTGGCATGTGGTGCTGGGGGATTGAACCGTGGTCCCTGTGCTTTGCTAAGCTTGTTCTAAGTAGGTGCTTTAGACCACTGAACCATCTCACCAGCCCCCTATATTTTCTTAAATAATGATTATAAAGGAATCACCATATCACTGAAATATTTCCTGAAAAGCAACAACAACAACAACAAGATTTCTTCCTGAAAGGCTAATAATTCTTGAAATCAAAATCTGCTAAAGCAAAACACAGCTTTTTGCACCAGTTATTGAATGTTAATGGATGTTGAAACATTACTTTGTCCATTCTCTTTTGCTGCCCAAATCTCTTGGCCTGATTTTAAAAGGCACAACCTCATAGGTTGACTTTTGCCAAAAAACCCCCATTGAATTGAAATTTTATTCCTGATAGTATTTATCTTTAATTGGGAAATATTTTGTGGTAGATTGTACCAAAAATTTGTGTTTTTTTAAATTAGAAAAAGAAACCATAGTAGGCAATTTAGTAGAAACACACACTCAGAAAGTTTAATATTTTGAGCTTTTAAATTTTTCAGCTGTGAAAATGATGGATAAAAACATATTCCTGTAAAATGACAGAACAGGGTTAAAGCCAACAATGACAACACAGCATCTTAAAAGATACAGAGAAAAGGCTTCCAGGGTAACAAGGCTGCAAGATAAAAGGACACAAGAGTGGCAGACTTCGTGTCCTAGAGCCTCACCGTGACAGGCGTGGGAAGAGTAGGTGGCCAGCGTGTCAAACGGCGCGGAAGAGATGGAGTCAGCCTTGTAGCTGTGGTCTGGTCCTCCCCACCTCAAGAGACTACAGTGCTCCAAGGATTTTGGGCTAAGGACCATGAATGCAATTAGGTGAAAGTCTACCTAAGTTCCACACCTGGACGCTCTTATCCTTTGATCTCCAATTTGCTTCAGTAATTCTGTCAACTAGTGTTTACCACCTTGCAAGATGTCAGACTATTTCAACAGGCTTACGAGAAAGGAAAGATGGGGTCATCCTTGTTAGCCAGGGAAGCTCACAGTGACCCTCACAGCCAGGGAACCCCTACAGCACCTCTAGTCAGTTCTTAAATACCAGGAAGCTGGACCTGAGGAAAGGGATTCTGAAAAAGCAAGGCATAGGTTTGGTGGTGGAAATGCAAAATGAAGAAGTCACGCAAGATGAGAGAAGATACTGTTTCCATGAAATAAGAAATGCTATTGAAAAAGAACATCAGAAAATATAAAATAGCTCCTGAGACTCGAACATGATTATCAGAAATTAAGAAGTCGCATAGGTGTAGGTGTCTGTGGTAAAATTGAGAAACTTTGACAGAGAGTAGACTGAAAAGATTTTTTTTTAAAGCCAGGAAAGAACTGAGGGGGGCCTTGGGGTTGAGCAGCAGGACCTCAGAGGAAAGAGGCAGCCAGATTATCAGTTGTGTGTGGAGCAGAAAACACGTTTCAGACATGCCAGATCCTGGAGGACGTGCCCCAGTGTACCTCTTGTCAGGTGGCTGCAGGCCCGATGGGGAGACAAGGGCAGGCAGGTGTTCAGAACAGGAAGTCACGCTCACGCCGAGCAGCTGTCAAGGCCTGGTGCTGGTGTGGCAGAGAGGGAGGTTCTGAGCAGACTGACTTCCTGATGGGCTATTTGAGAGTATTTTGATGATAAATTAAGGAAAGGTTCTTTGAGAACAGAAAAAAAAAACAAAAAACGTAGACAATGATTAACTTTAGGGAGTAACATGTACAAGAAAGGAAAAGTATTGGTAATACACTCCTGGAGCACTTGTGAAAAATGACAGGATTGCTGGGAGAAAGCTCAGTGACATGAGCACCTGCCTGGCAAGCACAAGGTCCTGAGTTCAATTCCTGGTATAAAGCAAGCAAGCTAGCAAGCAAGCTAGCTAGCTAGATGGATGGATGACAGGATTAGTGGATGCTCATTTAACCAAAATTTGAATGTTACTATTGAAAGGGCAAAGGGGGATGGGACTGGGGAGAGTGTGTGTGTGTGTGTGTGTGTGTGTGTGTCGTGCATGTGCACACATGGTGGTGCTGATGACAAAGGAGGGCTCACTGATCAAGAAGCCACCAAGCTCTGAGCAGCAGGAGCTGCAGGGTGCCTGTGATGACATCAGTAGGGCCACTGTCTGCTTTCTGTGGCCACATTTACACTGTTATGCTGTTTTCAAATTAGAAGTGCTGTGAAGTTAACATCTATTTTAGCATCTACCTTTATGAATAACTTCTAAGTAAAAGGAAATTTTGTTTTTTGTTTGTCCTTTTCAATATTGAGAACTTTTATTTCATCACTCCACGATTGTTTTAGGTGAGTACCATTTTGAATGGCATGTTAGACCAGAGCTTCAGGGAGCGAGCCACTCAGAAACCCCAAGGGCTGAGGCTTGTGACTGCGGTCCTGCAGAGCTGGGGGCGGTGTGACTTATGGCGGTCCCAGGATTCCACTCCGGAGAGCAAAATGGCAGTGCTGGCCTTACTGGCCAAAATTTTACAGGTACGTCAAGAACATTTGAAGAATATAGTATTCAGGTGCCTTTTGCTTTTTTCTCTAATTTTTATGTTGAAGAGAGTGCCTTGTTTTGAACACTGATTTGTAACTGAAAATTTGATTGGAATTGGTTCAAAAGCTTTTTGGTTCGATAAATAAAAATATTTTGGAGTGCAATTACTGATTACCTTATATTTTTTAATACTTCACATTATTTCGTATCATCTATTGTGCTTATTAATATTTCAGGCCGAATAATTCAGCTATTGTTGAAGCAATCCCAAGAACAAAATTAGTTTATTTCTGAAACTTAGACATTTGGCGAATGTTTTAAAGAAAATGGGTCATAATATACCATGTATTGTGCTTCTGTTTGCCTCCTGTAGATTGAGTCTTCTGTGTCTTTCAATGCAAATCATAGCTCGTTTGCAGACGTCTTCGCGACATACACTAGTCTACTTGCTGATTCAGAGCTGGGTCTACATCTAAAGGTAAGTGACCTAAAATTTTTTTCTAGATTCCATCTTTTTATATCTTTATATTTTGCCATTTTTTAAATGGAAAATTTCAAACATGTGTAAATATAGACTAGAACAACACCCATGTACCCGACCCCATCCTGATCACTATCAGAATGGGTTCAGGGTTTATTTTACCTGTACAGCTCTTCTCTCTTGAAGGGGACCTGGCTTATCTGATCAGCATGTTCGTCAATATTCCTCTCCAAGAGGTCAGAGTATTTATTTTATGGTATAGCCATGAGATTATCAGACTTGGCACTAGTCTTTGCATATGTATGATTTAAATTGGCCTTTTGGGTTTCCTGTATTAATATTCAATCCTTTTGCTATTAAAAATAGTAGAATCTTTTGGTGATTTTCTTGGGTGGGATCAAGAAGTCACTATTTTAATTTTAAAGTTGCTCATTTTATATTTATTTATATATATATTTCTTGAGACAGGATCTTATTGTGTAGTTCAGGCTGGCCTTGAATATACCATGTAACCCAAGCTGGCCTCACACAGTGATCCTCCTGTCTCAGCTTCCCAAGTGCTGGGATTATAGTGTGTACTACCACACATAGTCTAAAGTTGCTAATTATAGAGTTCTATAATAATTAGATTTTTAGGAGCCAAGGAGATAATTCAGTGGTCTAAGCACCTGCCTGGTAAACACAAGGACCTGGGTTTGGTCCCTGGTACTGCATGCCATGCCAGCCTTAGAACCCCAGATGCTTGTTTGCCGGCCACTGAAACCGGATGTGGCGGTGCATGCCGGAGGAAGCTGAGACAGTATGATCACTGTGAGTCTGAGCTGTGTAACAAGACCTTATACCAGATAGATAGATAGATAGATAGATAGATAGATAGATAGATAGATAGATAGATAATTTAGAAATCATTGGATGTTTAGTTATTAAAATGTAGTCAATGAAAGATCACATTTTTTATTGGATAAAGAGGAAAATTCCCTAGAATTTTCTGTTCTGTGTGATTAATGAAGTTTCCTGTTTCTTCCTGAGAGAGTCTTACAGGTTATCTACCTTTTTAAGGAGATAGTACTTTAACACCTAGTTCCTATACAGCTCAGTAGGCATTCTACACAGAGAGTTATAAATTATCCATAGGTTATTAGAGGTGTTCTGTCCACACAAACCTTGTTCAGTATGCTTCTTCTGGGGTCTTTTTTTGTAGAAGGAGAAAGCATACAGTGTCCTGTTTATGCATATGCATGTGACCCCCCAAGTCCACTGGTCACTACAGGCAAAGCCGAGGGACATAGTTGCATTCAGATTTGTTTTTAAGATAACATCAAATTTATTCTGAAATCATTCATCAAATCCATGTTGTACTGTATTTGCAGAGTCTTTAGAAAGCTGTAGTTCCATTTATGCTGTAGGATCTGTAATCCGCAGGTACCATAATTTGTTCATCTGCACTGTCCCCAGGGCCAAGCTGTGATCCTTCTGCCGTTCTTCACCAGTCTCACTGGTGGCCACCTGGACGACCTTAAGGGTGTTCTGGAAAAGCTCATTGTTTCCAGTTTCCCCATGAAGTCTGATGAATTTCCTCCAGGAACTCTCAAGTATAATAACTATGTGGACTGCATGAAAAAGGTTAGTTTTAGCAGTATAAAAATTGTAACATTGATTTGTGTCCTATTTCTTTTTTTTTTTTTTGGAGTACCAAGAATTGAACTCAGGACCCTGCGCTTGCCAGGCCAGTGCTTATTCTACTGAGCTATCTTCCCGGCCCTCTGTCCTATTTCTTTAGATATAAATTGTGTGTGTGGTACTGGAGATTGAGCTCAGGACCTTGCTTATGCCACTGAGCTATCTTCCTGGCTCCTTTTAAAATTCATTTTTAATTAATACATGCAAAAAATAAAAATTGTACCTGTTAATGGGATACCATGTAATGTTTAAATACATACATACAAAATAAATAAATAAATAAATACATACATACATACATACATACATACATTGTGTACTGTTTAAATCAGGTTGAAATGTTCATTTCCTCAAATATGCTATCGTTTCTTTATGATAAAAACTTTAAAAATCCTTTCTTCTAACTTTTTGAAATGTACCATACAGAAACACATCAGAACTTCTTCCTCCTAACTTAGAACTCACTGATCAGCCTTTGCCCATCTTAATCTTATCCTCCCAACAACTGTCCCCAGGTCCCCAGTGTCCAAAGCACAATTGTGTGGTCAGCTGCTGCTTTTTTCCTCTTTATGATTTTGGGATCTGTTGCGGCGGTGGCTCTGGTGCTGCCTGCGCTGTTGTTGTTGTTGTTCTAAGTGCCGGAGGCACCAGGACCTCACATGCTAGTCGGGTGGTCTGCTGCTGAGCCACATCGTCTTTCCTTCTACATTCACCTCTCATGTTTTTTAATGATATCACTTGGAATTCCACTGTCTGTGCCTGACTTACTTTACTTATCATAATGATCTCAAGTTTTATCCATGTTGTTACATATGATAGCATTTTATTCTTATTTTCATAGCTCAGTAAGACTCTGTTGTGGATATGTACCACATTTCCTTTATCCACGGAGCAGTTGGTGGACACTTAGGATTTTCCATCTCTTGGGTATTGTGCAAAGTGCTGTAATCCGTAGACATCCTTTCAGCATCCTGACTTCATTCCCTTTGCTACAATCCCAGTACTGGGGTTGCTTGATCATATGATACTGTAGTTCTACTTTTGATTTTTTGAGAACACGCTACACTGTTTTCAACTGGATTTACTGACTTACATTCCCACTGGTGGTGTTTAGGGGTTTCCTTTTCTCCACATCCTCATCAGAACTTGTTAGCTCTTATTTTTTTTTTGAGACAGGGTCTCACTGTATAATTCAGGCTGGCCTAGTCTTTTTGATAATAGCCATCCATGGGCTCGGGTTATAGCTCAGTGGCGTAAGCACCTGCCTGGCAAATGGAGGTTCAGTCCCTAGTACTAAAAAATAAATAAATAAAAATAATAGGTACTAGCCATCCTGACTGGGATGAGCTGATATGATAGGTCTTTGTCATTTTGTTTGTACTTTCCTAATAGTGACACTGAGTACCTTTTCATGGACTTGTTAGCAATTTGTATGTCTTTTTTTTTTTTTTTAAATGTATTTGGCACAGGGTCTCACTTCACAGCTCGGACTCATATAATCCTCCTGTCTTCAGCCTTCCCAGAGCTGGCATGGCAGGCATACGCCACCACGCCTGGTCTCAGTGGCAGGCTTAGCGCGCCCAGTGTTAGGGCCAGCAAGGCGTGCGGTGCCTGGGATTGAACCCCAGTCCCTACGCTTGCCTAAGGCACTTAGTCTGCTGAGCTATCTCTATGGCCCTCAAAACACTAATTTTTAAAAACACTTTTATCAAACTTTAAAAAAATCAGAAGTATCTGTTATGTGTGTGTTGTACTATACAAAAGTAAAAATAAATGTAACTATAAATTAATGATACATTACATGTTGAGTCCGCTGAGCTATCTCGTCAGTCTTTGTATGTCTTCTTTTGAAAAATGCTTGTTTAAACGCATTACATTTTTAAAGAAATAACTTATTTATTTATTTGCTTTTGAGCTTTTGGAATTCTGTATTCTAAAAATCAACCCCTTTACATTTGTATAGTTTGCAAATATTTCATTCTTTAATGTCTCTTCACTTTGTTTCCTTTGCTACACAAAGTTTTGTAATTTGTTGTGATCCTATTTGTGTATTATTTGCTTTTGTTTCCTCATTTTGGGTCTTTTTCTAATAAAAAGATGCAAAATAAGAAGGTAAGTGTGGGTACACATCTATAATCCCAGTACTCGGGAGGTTGAGGTTGGAGGATCAGAGTTTGAGGCCAGCCTGGGCTACATAGTGAGTTTAGGGCCAGGCTGACTACTAACTAAGACCTGTCTCTGCCCCTTCCCTCAACAAAGAAAGTAGGGATGCAGATGGTTTGCAAATAGGAGGAGGACCAAGGGTGGAAGGAGGGGAGGACAAAGCACGGAAGGGCAAGATAAAAGAATTAAGACGTGTTACGTACATGAACAGCTCCTCAGAACAGTGTAACTATTATGCACTGCAAGCATGTGGTAATAAAAATTAAAATTGAAAACAAAAATTGTTGTCCATTCCCAAATCCTAAAGCATTCACTTTTGTTTTTTTTTTCTGGTGATCCTGCACTTCCAGGTCTGACATTTCAGTCTGTCATCTTTTTGATTTTCCCAACTGGTGAGAGCTAGGGACCTGTCACCGCATTCCTTCAGCACATGGATATCCCGTTTTTCCAGTATTGTTTGTTGTGCCATCGTTAGCATCATTTGGCTGCGATGCATGCATTCCACAGGCTTTCTGTTCTTCTAGTCTTTGTATGTTTTCATGTCAGTAGCATTCTGTTTTAGTTCCTACTGCTTTGTGATATATGTTAAAGTCAGGTACTATAACACTTCCTGCTTTGTTCTTTTTGTTCAAGATGTCCATAGCTACTTGAGGGTTGTTTTTAGTGGTTCCACACTAAGAATTGATTTTTCTAGTTATGTGAAAAATGCCACTGGTATTTGGGTAGGCAACTTTAAAAACTTATCCTCTCTTTTACTCTAAACAAGTCAGGTTTAATTCATATTAACGTAAATTTTGTCAGGCTACCCTGTGATAGTGATCTCAAGTCTCGTCATGTAAATGTCATGTAAGTATCCTGTTCCCAGCAATCTGTTATCTAATGGTTTTATCATCCAGAAAGATTCCAAGTAGATCCTTAGTTCTTTTAAATGCACACGATCACTGACCATTGAGAGGAAGCTGCTCCCGTAAGGAAGATATAAACCAGGTGCCCGCCTGTAATTCCAGCTGCTCTAGTCCCGCCATTCGGGAGGCTGAGACAGGATTGCTTGAGCCCAGGAGCTTATAGTCAGCTTGGGGACTGTAGAAATCCTGTCTCAACACAGGCCAGGACATAATAGCTCAGTGATGACAGCACTTCCCCAGCATGTATGAGGTCCTAAGTTTGGTCACCAGCCGTCGCTCCTCACATGTACCTACACAGAAGATAGGTGCAAATCAGTAGGAAAGAGGAGCTCAGAGGGAATAGAGTCGCCAAGCAAGGGATGGACAGTCAAAAGAATCTGTGCTAAATAGTTTCAGAGGAAGGCATCATGTCCATGAAAGAGAACAAATAGAGGTACATGGAAATGAAATTTGTACAAGCAAACTTAAATTCACATTTTCCTGTTCCATTTTTTCCTTTCTTTTTTTTTTTTTTTTTTTTGTACAGAAGT